GATTTGCTATCGATGCGATAAGCCATGACAGTTTTCCTCGACTTGTCTTGATAGAACACAAAAAACTCAAGAAGCAAATCAAGTAGAGACGGAAGAAGCCGATCCAGCTATATATACGCATGAAATTGTGTTTCTAAACGAACAAAACATTCTTCCTAAGAACTTCAAGAACAGCGGCAAAGAAGAAGGACTTTGGTACCTTGACAATGGTGCGAGCAACCGAATGACTGGAAATAAGAAGTTCTTCTCAGAACTCAATGAAAGCATAAGAAGAGAGGTGAAGTTTGATGATGGATCTTGTATTGAAATAGGGGGAAAAGGATCGATTCTATTTCAAAGCAAAACCAATGAACAAAAATTTGTCTCAGACATCTACTATATACCAGGACTTAAGAACAATATCTTAAGTCTAGGATAAGCAACATAAGCTAGATGTGATGTACGAATGAGACAAAATTACTTTACCGTACATGATCCACGAGGGAGGCTCCTGGTGAAAGTACAATGATCACCAAACATGTTATATAAGCTACCATTGAAGATTATGAAGCCAGTATGATTAAAAACAAGCATATAAAATGATACTTGGAGATGGCATGCATGATTAAGACATATAAACTTTAAAACCGTAAAGTTTATGTCTCATCAAGAGATGGTACATGGAATGCCAGAAATCAGAGAGGCAAAGAGATTGTGCGAGTCCTGCCTGGTGGGCAAACAAATTCGTCAATCCTTTTCTAAGCAACCATGTTTCAAGCATCCAAACCAGTTGAACTTCTACACGCTGACTTGTGCGGTTCGATAACACCAGCAACCGCAGTCTCTAACAGGTACATATATGTCATAATCGATGACTTCTCAATATACATGTGGACAATCTTGATGAAGGAAAAAAGTGAGACTTTTGCAAGGTTTAAACTATTTCGAAGTCTTTTGGAGAAAGAATTAGGAAAGACAATCCTAACTTCAAGAACCGATAGAGGTGGTGAATTCACATCAAAGGAGTTCCAAGACTATTGCAATCACAATGGCATCAAGAGACATTTAACGCGTCTTACACGCCTCAACAAAACAGAGTGGTGAAAAGGAGATCCATCATCTAGACCTCAACCAAACAAGTTTTACATCATCTAGACATTGTCAGAACTCGACATTGATATATATATAGTGTTAGCATACATTGATAATCCTATTTCCTACGAATTCGCTAACTCCTCACTCAAATAGGAATGAATTAAGTCTGTCTTATCCTTACCACCTTTGGATTTTGCATTTTAGATTTAAGCTAATGTTGAGGCTTATCCAACATTCTCCCTTTTAAGCTTCAATACTAAGCTAATCAAATTCTTAAGGGAATGAGATTTAAGAGATGTTCTAAGGAGACATCTGTGTACCACAAGGAAGAAGGAGGTACACTATTAATTGTTGCAATTTGTGACAGGTAATAAAAACAAGGTCATAAACGATCTGAAGCATGGAATGTCAACAAAGTTTGAAATGTATGATCTCGGTAGACTTACATACTATCTTGGTATGGAAGTATATCAAGGAGAAGATGGGATAAAGATTAAACAAGAAGCATATGCAAGACGAATCATAATCGAAGCTGGTCTTGAAACTTGCAAACTCAACTCAAGTTCCAATGGAATTTGGTTTAAAGGTTTCAAAGGCACTAGAAGAAGAAGAGATCGATCCCACCACATATAGAAGAAACATTGGCTGCTTGCGTTACTTGCTGCACATTCGACCAGACCTTGCATTTTCGGTTGGTGTAGCAAGTAGATACATGCAAAGTCTTCGCAAATCTCACGATGATGTGATGAAACAGATCTTACAGTATCTTAAAGGGAACTGTAGCCATATGGGCTAAAGTTTAATCGAAAAAGCTCAAAGAAAATCACTGGTTTTAGTGATAGCAGTCACAACATCGATCCAGACGATGGAAGAAGTACAACGGGACACATCTTTTACTTTGGCTCCTCACCAATAATTTGGTGTTCGCAGAAGCAAGACACATTAGCTCTATCATCGTGTGAAGCTGAGTTCATGGCAGCGACAGAAGTGGCTAAACAAGCTATATGGCTTCAAGATATACTTGACGAGACCACGAGATAGAAAGCTGAGCAAATCATCATCAAGATAGACAACAAATCTGCAATAGCACTCACCAAGAATCCAGTGTTTCATGGCAAGAGTAAACACATACATAAGAGGTACATTTTTATAAGAGAGTGCATTAAAGGGGAGGTTGTGGATATTGAACATGTGCCGGGTACTGAAACAAAAGGCAGACATCTTAACCAAGGGGTTGGCAGGAATCAAATTCAGTGAAATGAGAAGCCTCATTGGAGTTTAAGACATGTCCAATAAAGTGCTCAAGCTTAAGAGGAGAATATTGGATAACCTTCAACAATAGCTTAAATCTAAGATACCAAATCCAAAAGTGGTTAGGATAAGATAGACTTAAGGCATTCCATTAGAGTTAGGAGTTAGCTAATTCAATAGGAAATAGGATTAGCAATGTATGCTAACACTATATATATCAATGTCAAGTTGTGACAATTGATATGAAGAACAAGATGTTTAGTTTTTCAGTTATATTTCTAAACATCAATAAAGAAAAAATTATTCTATATACAAAGTGTGTTTGTGTTCTGAGATCCTTTGAGTCTCTACACGAATTAGTATTTATTATAAATGAATATAAATGGTATTTTGGTAAAAATGAACATAAATTAGAGATTTAACACATAGTTATATTATTATATAGTACATATTAAAAATTTGTCTAAAATTCTCTATTCTAAAATTATTATTGGTGATTTTGATTGTAATTGCTTGATTTTATTTTTATATGAAATATGATAAAAAATACATTTTGATTAATTTAAATTTATATTCATATATCTTTTATGTATATTAAAATTATATATAGGCACCAGAAGTGATCGATGGAAATCCAAAGTTGTTCGAAAAGTTCATAAGGGGACTTTGCAATGCTAACACCTCGGAAGGATTTCCGGCCGAGCATAGACGTTTCCATCCCGGAGATCTATCTTCCTAAGGTAAATTGGGTCCATCTTTTTTTCGGAAAATCACGAGATTTCGATCTATACTAGCGTTTTTTTGCTGGAAGAACGCATGGCAATATCCGAAAAATCTTATTTAAACACTGGAAAGAAAAGGACAATGAAGTACAGGTTTATGAACGTCTTCCCCCTGGAAAAGATTATACCAAATTAATGGGACTGAGCAAGTTTTTGTCTATGCCCTAGTGGCTGGGAGGTCGCTAGCCCAAGAGAGGTTGAGGCTATATACGCTGGCTGTGTACCCGTGATCATATCAGATAATTATTCATTACCATTTAGTGATGTGCTCAATTGGGACTCCTTCTCCATACAAATCCCTGTTTCTAGGATAAGTGAGATCAAAAAACTATTCTAGAGGGTGTTTCTACTCTTAAATACTTGAAGATGTATAAGAGAGTCTTAGAAGTGAAGCGGCATTTCGTGTTGAATCGTCCAGCTCAGCCCTACGACGTGATGCATATGATGCTTCACTCGATCTGGTTAAGAAGACTTAATCTTAGGCTTATTACATGAAATAAGTTTTTGTTGCCACAAATAATATAGATTGAATGTCTATTCTAGTCAAGCTAATGATGAGTATATACAAGAATAAAGTGTTTCACAATAATAAGAGAAACAATATATTTTTTTATTGCTTTTCTCGATATTCTTCTTTTTTTTAGTTTGTAATTCGATATTCTTTTTTTTTTTTTTTTTTTAACTCGATATTCTTCTTCTAACTTTTTTGATTCTTAGTTATTTAATGAACTAATCATCGCACATTCATTAACATGATCAATCAAAATTTACTGTGAAGTTGTTTCTGACAATTGATTTAACCGAATTTTTACTATTTAGGTTTCCTTCAAGATTTTTAGTCATTAAAGATATCTCTAAGGTAAAAATGCATTAATCTAGTTTCACACAGGAATTTTGATTAAAACATAAACTTTATCTATACGTTTTTTTCTCTCAAAAAAATGGCGACACGGGTGACGTTTTAGGGTTCTACGGTGTTATGATTCCAGATCTAGAGGGTGTCAAAAATCAATATGGGTGGAAAGGAGGCGAAGGTAAACAGGTTTCGATTTCACTTGGGTGGGTTTGATTGCTATTGATCTAAGACGAGAAGGTCGGAGGATTTGGGGGAACAATATTGAGATCCATGGTCTGCGGGCTAAACATATGGCGAGATTGTCAAGAGGAATCACAGAATATGGGGGATGACACAGCTAATTGGGGGATATCGGGGCCAAGGGGGAACCGAATCTCGGGGATTTACGGAGGACGAACAGATCCCGTATCTCTTGACGATCTGGGCTTACAGAACACAGCAAGCGGATAAAAGGAAACAACCAATCACTCAGGTCCTGTCTCTGTCTTTTTTAGCTATCTCTTTTAAATTAAACCCCTTTTACAGGGGATCCGAGGAGCAATCATACATCTTGGGGATATTCCTAATAATGGTAACTTTGGTGATCACTAGGACTCTAGGAAATCTTGGGAAAGTAAAGGAAACAGTCACGGCGGATCAGATATGAAACGTTGATATTTTTCGGTGTGATTTATGGATCCACGGAAGCAAGTATCGCACATCAGTTTATAACGAGTATCCTGGATATCTTGGGATAGATGGGGCTCATGGTGATTACGGGGACCTCTTTCTGATTAAGGTAATAGGGTTTTTAATGTGGATTATCCATGGCATCCTTGGTTTTTGGTCATGAGGGAAGGACCTTATGTTGATCCGGAATTGATATGGAGCTTTAATAGCGGGATTCGTTTTGGGGTTCATGGGTTGTATAAAAGGCGCTAATGGAGTGGACATTACAATCATATAGTTCTCATAAGATTGCCATTCACTCTAACGCAACACATTGATTTTTGTTTCTCTCTCAGTGCTCACAATGGCTCAAGCGGCTAGAATGGTGAATGGTGGATCAAGTAAGGCGCAAAGAAACACTCGCACCTCGACTGAAAATACGGTTCCCCGGTTGGTTTGACAATGAGGATTTGATCAAGGGGTGCGGACGAACACTGATCGGGAGGGTGCATGAATCCTACGGTGCAGGAGATGAAGTCTCTCCTCTTCATGTTGCCAAGCAGAATTTGAGAGGTGGAAGAGCGCGAGTGGCATGGGGCAAACCTAGGGTATGGGCAGGTTCCAGTTCGATTACGATGAGGAGGAGGATATCCAAGCGGTGTTACAGATGGAACCCTTTCACTTCGATTGATGGATGGTGGTGCTTGTAAGGTGGGAGCCGATAATGGCAGCTCAATTACCCCCTCGAAACTCACCTTTTGGGTACGGATTGATGGGGGTGCCACTTTCACTTTTGAGCAGGGGGAACCGACTTTCCGTTGTATTGGGCAAGCCATTGGGATAGTCAACAGGTGGACTTGGTTGGAGGGGGGGGGGGGGGGGGGGGGGGGGGGTGAGTCCAGAGTGATTCATAGATGGTTTCCAAGCCGATTGATTTTCCGAGACATACATCTGTGTGAGTTATCACAGTGCGAGATGAGATTACAGTCATTTTACGGTAAGCCTCGTATGAGCGCCCACTTCACGGTTTACTCCGCCGGAATGTGTTTACGCTTATTAAAGCAAATACTTGATCGTAATTAAACAAAACAAAGAAAAAAAATTATCTTACAAACTTAAGAGAAATAGCTTAAGAACAATATTTTTGACAAGACCTCGCGAAAAAATAGAAAAAGGCCGCGCTATTTTATGCCTAAAGGGAGAAAACTCTAGAAGAGGTGGCAAAAGTGTAATTAAAAACAGCGTTCGGGCACTGGGTCAGTATCGGTCAGTTCGGTGCTTTTGACCTCCAGATGACAGAAAACTTATCTGTCAGTGCGTCATCAGTGATAGACACACACCGACCGAAATGTATAACGGGCTGTGTTTGTGTCTCTTGAAACCACATAGCACCTGATAATAGAGTGATCGATACTCGCTCCATTTTTTTTTGCCGTCACAATCAGAGACCAAAAATTCCAGGTCTGACCGAAAAACTTTTGACAGAGATATTCCTGCTCTTGAACCTATCTTGCTCCCTTCTTGATCCAGATAGACCTCCGGATCATTCCCAAAGCTCCTCCAAACTCCTTTAAGCTCCAAAAGAACCTAAAAACATCCAATATGCAAGGAAAATGCAATCTATACTCCTAATGTAACCTAAGTCTAAAAGGAGAAGAAAATAGGACAAAAGCTAAGGGAAAATATGCAAAAGAGGACCAAAACATGTACTAAATGCAGCCCTAAATGGTGTAAATACAAAGGATATAAAGGTTCGTGGACGTGCTGAAGCTGTTGTGGTGGTTCGTGGAACGTCAGATGTTTGCTAAGGACCAGAGATCGGGGAGCAGATCGAGCATGGCAGGTCGATCTAGATAAGATCGACCAGAAGATCGAGAAGCCCAAGCGATCCAAGGGAAATGATCGAGACGAAGATCGAGTGGAGCAATCGATCAAATGGTACGGACGTAAATGACGCCATGCAGAGCGAGAGCCGGATCGAGTCCACCACTCGATCCGACCGAAGATCGACACCAAGATCGGATGCAACCCTCGATCCGCCGAAGAAGATCGAGACCCAGATCGAGTAGAAGACACGATGTCCGAAAGTTATCGAAAGAGCTGCTCGATCCCGAAGTTGATCTCTGTTCTTTCAACCGCTTTTGGCCGCTAGAGAGGGGGGGGGGGGGGGGGGGACCATCGAGCTGTTTTCACCATTTTGGGAAGGCGGCGATGTCTTTTCCCACACACACTTTTCATTCTTATCTTTTTATGCTTTTTTCTCTCTGGTTTGGAGACTCTTCGCCTTTGTTAGACTTTGAGCTTTGTTCTTGAATATTTTGAATCGTTTAAGTTTTAAGTAATCATTTTCATGTTCATCGCTTCGTCTTTCATGTTTATTTTGGTTATTCTCATGTGTAGCGAGTAGTTTCATTAGGGTCTCGGGGTTGAGAGGATTCACGGGGTCTAAGGGGTTTTCAAGTTGGTAGTTTTCTTGTTCTTAATGGCTTCTCTTCTAGGATGTTGAGTCCCTAAGGCTTAAAGACTCTCACACCAAGATCTTTATGATCAGAGAGGTCTCTTACCTTGACAGGATCCAGAAATCTCTAAAAATCACATCCTAGAGACTAGTTACCCTTTCCCAAAAGTCATAGAAGTTTAGGGGACTAGTTAGGCTGTGTGTTTGAAATCTGAGTTCATTGCCCTTCAACCTCTCTTTCCACCAGAATCCATGGGTTTGGAGGAGAGGATGAAGGAGTGATCCATACCGAAAGCCACGGATGGATCTTGTTTTCGTTTTCAAGGCTTAGGGAATCTCACAAAGTGAGTCGATTTAAAGTTTTCAATCCCAACTTGGACCCTTGAAACCCCGGACCATGAATCTCAACCCTAGACCCTTCTTTCTTAGCATTCTTACATCTTCGTTAGTCATTCGCTTGAAATTCGCCGCATCCTGGTCATTAGATTCTCCATACTTGCATTTTTAGACGAGATCGATCCAAACTGCTCGATCTAGTGGTCGATCCTGTGGTCGATCCACTAGTCGATTTTTGTTAAATCTCGTAGTAGTTCAATCACTCTTGGTAATTTTAATATAGTTTTGCATTCCATTCAGTCGTTGCATATAGTTTTTAGGATTTTCACAATATCGCCTGTTATTCGCTTAGCTTTACGCTGCTCTTGCATTCTCTTTGATCTTCCTAGATCCTAGAAATGGATTGACTCTCACTTGCATACCGTACTACAACCTAAGTATTGCATTTGAGTTTGATAGCATCATTGCATTCTAGGAGTCTTAGAAAGCATAGAGATTTGGGGCTTAGTAAAGACTAAGCTTTTACCTTGTTTTAGTTACTAATTTCTCTACTCTCAAACGTGTTTCTCAGGTACATGAATCTTCGTTCAAGGGGAAACAATCTACTTCAACTCTTGGACAACATTCATCAGCTTGGTCATTCACGGCGAAGAAGAGTACGAAAACAAGCCAGAGCTTTTGAGGAGATTGTTCAGCACGGTTTGGTTGACTTTGAAGCTATGGCTGAACACGAGCATCCAGAGGGACCTCCTCCAGCTCACGGGGCAGTGGGAAGGGGCAATGGAAACCCCCAACACGCGGCTAGACCCCCAAGGATCATAGGAGCCGGAGATGCTCCCAATACTCATCACAATAGGTTTGGGATCACTCCTCTTCCTGTACAAAACAACAACTTCGAGATTAAGTCAGGTTTCATCTCCATGGTGCTAAACAACAAGTTCCACGGCTTAGCAATGGAAGATCCCTTGGAGCACCTTGACAATTTCGAGCAAGTATGTGGGATGATCAAGATAAACGGCATATCAGAAGATGCTTTCAAGCTGCGTCTCTTTCCCTTTTCACTCGGAGACAAAGCTAGGCATTGGGAGAAGACCCTTCCACAAGGCACCATCACCTCATGGACCGAGTGTAAGAAAGCTTTCCTCTCAAAATTCTTCTCTAGCACCAGAACGGCAAGGCTAAGAAGCGAGATCAGCAGCTTCACGCAAAGGAATAATGAGACTTTCAATGAAGCCATGGAACAATTCAAGGACTATACTATCCAATGTCCACACCATGGCTTCAGCGAAGAGACCCTTCTAAGCACTATCTACCGTGGAGCTTCACCAAATATCAGGTTGTTGCTTGACACGGCTAGTAAAGGGAACTTCCTTGGTCAGGAGGTAGAAGAAGGCATGGAGCTGATTGAAAACTTAGCATTGAGTGACGGCAACTATGCTGAAGATTATGACCGTGCACCGAGAGGATCTGAGCTAGAGTCTCACAAAAATGAGCTGAAATTCTTGCATGAGAAGATTGATAAGCTGGTGTTAGCCAACCAGAAGCATGTTCACTTTGTTGGTGAAGCGGATGAGAATCAAGAAGAGCTTGAGTTGAGCCAGGAAGAAGCCAATTGGATGGCGGGACAGAACAATTACAAACCTCACGGCTACACCCAAGGCTACAACCAGAACAACAATCTCTCCTACTGTAGTACCAACGTCGCCAACCCTAAAGACCAAATGTACCCTGCTCAGCAAGCAAAACCTTTCATACCTTACAAAAAATGTTTTCAGCCGAGTGGTGGCTTCCAAAGTCAAGGGCAGAACAACTTCCAAGGGCAACATCAAGGCAACAAGGTTTATACGCCAAACTACCCTCCGGGCTTTGCACCTCAGCAGCAACAGCCGATGCAACAACAAGTTGATCCGGTTCAGGCCATGTTTCAGCAGCTGATCCAAGGGCAAACCTCTACAAACCAGAAGTTTGCCGAGATGAACACTCGTTTAGACTCGTCTCTCACTGACTTCTCCACTCAGATCACCAACTTAAACAACAAGATCAAGCAGCTAGAGAAGGGGAAAGCGAGTACAAGTGGTCAGAATAGCCTCCCGGGCAAGTGTGAGCAGAACCCTAAGGAATATGCCAACGCCATCACGCTAAGAAGCGGCAAAGAGCTAGCACCTACGGTTACTCCTAAGAACAACGAGGACGTTGTAATTCAATAGGGGGAGGGTAAGCTTTCCGCTGATGATGAGATCAATTTTGACAATGTCTGGATTCAAGGGCCAAGAAGAGGAGACAAAGCGGTTGTTGAGAAGAAAGCGGAGCAAACTACTAAGGAGAAGGATGCTTATGTACCTCCACCGTATATACCTAAGCTGCCTTTTCCTGGCCGTTTCAAGAAGCAACTCATAGAGAAGCATAGAGTCTTGTTTGAGAAGCATCTTAAGGATGTAGAGATCAAGCTACCTCTCGTGGACTGCCTTGCAATGATGCCTAAATGCGCCAAATTCTTCAAAGACACTTTCGTGAAGAAGAATAAGGAAAGTAAGGAGGTTCTTGTTCTAAGTGAGGAGTGTAGTGCTGTGATACATAAGGAAATAGTCCCTAAGAAGTTGGGAGACCCTGGAAGCTTCACTATACCCTGCGCTTTAGGTCCTTTGGAGTTCAAAAGTTGCCTTTGTGATCTCGGAGCTAGCATAAATCTGATGCCTCATTCCGTGGCAAAGTGATGTTACTGCATATTACATACATTTTGCATACTCATTAGTTAGCTTTTCATGCATTGTATCACGTTAGGATAGATTGCCTCACTTAGAGTCAATAGAGCATTTCTTGCACCAGCATAGCATGTCCTTGCATTGGCATACATTTAGGTGGTTACTGGCTGCTTTGGAGTCATGGGGGTTTGTGGACGTTGCTGAAGCTGTTTGG